CCCCCCCCCCCCCCCCTTTTTTTCTCATTTGGAGTTTTTGATAATGCTTCGTGGTTTCATGGTTTTTCCCATGCTTGTGGAATAACCTATAATGATGATGGTTTCAAAATTTTTCATCTCATTATTTCTTCTTCTGAAGGTTGTGATAGCAAGGGCATCGAATGTAAAATACTGCCACAATGTTTTTTGCCTGAATTTTGTGTTAATTATTTCATACAATTAATTGCCAGTTTGCCGCTAGCCCCAACTAGTGGGGATTAAGGTGCTGATAAGGATGATTGCAATGTACTTCCATTATGACATGCCACATCCCTGCATAATGCAGGTTCCTCCGACTTTGAGATTTGTGATGGATGGTGAAATGCCTGATTACTTGCTAGCTAAAGATTTAATTTTGCAAGTAAGTTTATTAGAGTTGCTACTACATATTACAGTATTACGGAGTACTTTCTTTACATTCAGTCTTAAATCCGCTTATAATGTGAAACATTCAATCTTATTTTTCTTATTTGTGTTCCTAAAACCATTTGGATTCATAAAGCTTCCAAGTTTCATATGTAGTTCATTTGAGATTTCTATGTCTTAGATTATTGGTGAGATTTCTGTAGCTGGTGCAACATATAAAGCAATGGAGTTTGTTGGCACAACAGTTGAAAGCTTGACAGTAAGTTTATATTGATTTTAATGTAAAAGTATACATAAAACTTTTTTGTTTCAGTTTTAATTAATTTGCTTTTCTCTGAATGTTTATTTATGATTTTGCTGCCATTTAATTTTAAAAGATGGAAGAAAGAATGACTCTATGCAACATGGTTGTTGAAGCTGGTGGAAAGAATGGTGTTATCCCAGCAGATAGTACAACTTATGAGTATCTTGAGGTCAACTTTATTTATTACGGGCTTATTGATCCTCACAATTCCTTCCATCTCTCTTGGTGGGCTACGTGCTCTGCCACATTTTTTAGCTAAAAAATGTTGTTCTTGTCTTCATTTGCAGGAAAGGACTTCTGTCCCATATGAACCTGTTTACAGTGATGCACGAGCCAGGTATTCACAGTTTAGATCCTGCTTAGAACTATTAGGCTATTTATAGGGTAGTGATGCATGCTTCCAATAAGAGTCTTCCACCGGAGGAGTGAGGACATTACCTTCACAAGTCACAGGTCTACAGAATTAAATCTGCCTTTGTGCATCTCGGATAATTGGTATTGTCAGCAACAGGTACTAATATGATTACATTAAGGTTTTAAACTTTGGTATGCCCTAGTTGGGCTCTCGAGTGGTGCCCAATCTGCATAGGATGCCAAATCTAGCGCTTCCCCGACCTAAGAGATCCTAAATGACACCAAGTTCCCTTGAGGCAAATCACTATTGGGGCACCTAGCACCAAATAGAGGCCTAAGCATATTTAGAAGGCTAAACCCCACTATTGGTCCTTCAACTGTATGAGTTGTGCACGATTGGTCTTTCAAGTTTCAAAAGACCATAAATAGTTCTTCAACTTTATGAGTTATGCATGATTGGTCCTTCAAGTTTCAAAAGTCCATAAATAGCCCTTCAAGGTACACGTCAGCCCTCCAGATGAGGTCCTTTTGACGGTAAACGTTAAAAGCTAAATGGAGTACTAGCTCCATATAATACGGAGTAGTCGTACCTAGTGGAATTTACTCGTATTATATGGAACTAGTATTCCATTTAGCTTTTAATGTTTACTGTCAAAAGGACCTCATCTGGAGGGCTGACGTGTACTCGAAGGACTACTTATGGACTTTTGAAACTTGAAGGACTAATTGTGCCCAGCTCATAAAGTTGAAGGACTATTCATGGACTTTTGAAACTTGAAGTACCAATCGTGCAAAACTCATAAAATTGAAGGACCAATGGTGGATTTTAGCCTATTTAGAACAATTAGTTGCATTCACTAAAAGAATTCTTTTTGTAGCCTATGAATTTTCATCTCTTTATTTTCTTCCATTTCAATCAATTAACTATGTGCATTTATTCTACTTGTGTTTAGGTGTTACTTCTAGTGCTTAACTAGGTTTCTTCAATCTGTTTGTCGCTCTATCTTCGCTGTCATTTTTTTCATTCACTTACAGTTAGCCATTTAGGTCCTGCTTATTGCTTTTGTTTAATTTACTTTCTTGATGATTCTTAAAACTTTGTAGTTTAATTTGTTTCAAATTGTGACTTTAAAACTTAAGTTTTGCGTAGGTGTCCTGGTTGTCTGCTAGTGCGGCGCCTAGGCACCATGATAACTATAAACTTTGAGCACGAGTTCTTTCTTTTCTTTTAAATATATGTGCCTAGCAAGTGCATGGTATTTCAACACAAATTGCATTCTATAAATTTCTAATACTCATTTATTGGTTTGTTACATTTGATATTCATTTATTAAGTTTTACCGGAGTACTTTATTTCAGGTTTCTTTCAGAGTACAGATTTGATGTATCAAAGTTGGAGCCTTTAGTGGCAAAGGTGAACACACTGTTTGTCTCACTTAATAGAATTGACATCTCTTTTACATTTTTTTGTGCACCTCTTTCATGCTTGATTTTGTCTGAGCCAATTTGTGCCTAATTGTTGTGTTCAATTTCACTATGTACCACTATATGCTCCAAACCTGATTATCTCTTTCCCCTTTTTTGAAAACTCTGTAGCCTCATTCCCCTGATAACCGTGCCTTAGCAAGAGAATGCAAAGATGTCAAAATTGACAGAGTTTACATTGGATCTTGTACTGGTGGAAAAACAGAGGACTTCATGGCTGCTGCCAAAGTTTTTCTAGCTGCGGTAATATAATTGTTCTGCTTAGGGTCTGTTCGGGAATGGGGAAAATGACTTCCGGACATCATTTTTCCATTTTCCGGTGGAAAAGAGGAGTCAATAGAAAATGAGCCTTATTTGGAAGAACAAAAACTAGTTTTTTTTAGACCCCCCACATTTTATAATGAGTATGTCATAACAAAAACTAGTTTTTTTTTCAGTTTCTAATATATCAACCAAACACCAAAAACGGATTTATTTCCCAGAAGCCATTTTCCTACCTTTCCAAACAGACCCTCTGTTGGTTTGTATTTTCTTTAATTGGATTTTCTGCTGATCATACAACTGGTTGCATAATACACAGGGGACAAAAGTAAAAGTCCCAACCTTTCTTGTTCCTGCTACTCAAAAGGTTCGTGATCATTTGTGGAGTGGTATCAAATGTTTGTGAATATATGGTTTTCAATGCTCCGCAATGTCAATTTTTTACTAGTAAGCATATTCATCTTTGTTATTTATGTGCACTATTCAACTTAGGTCTGGATGGATGTATACAGCCTCCCAGTTCCAGGATCGGGCGGGAAAACGTGTTCCCAGATTTTTGAGGAAGCTGGTTGTGATACGCCAACAAGTCCTAGTTGTGGGGCTTGTTTGGGGGGGCCCAGAGACACTTATGCACGCATGAATGAACCTCAGGTGAGTTATATCCATTGTTTTGTATGGTAAGACTCAATGGTAAAAACTGTAAAGTATACAATGCTTGTAAAAGTTCATATAATTTCATTTAAGTAAATCACAAAAGCAAAAATGAATAAGGTGAAGAAAAGTTGTTGCTACTTATAAGATGCTAATGAAATAAAATCCTATACGCAGGGGACAAAATATAATTTCTTGAGTTTTGTTTATTAATTCCACACCAATCTTTATATAAAATAAATTGAAAATAACTTTGGTCAAGTAACGTATTTTGAAACGGGAACATTATTATGGGATGGAGGAGTAATATATATTCAAAAGCACTAATAACTCAAGATGTGTTTCCCTATCATGCACAAGGGCGAAATGGGGTTCATTAACTGCAGGTCATTGTAGTTTTTTTATTCTACATTGAGTCAAACTGGGAGTACAAGTCAAACTAGAAAAATAATCGTTCTTTCGAATTCCAAAGGGAAGTATTATAGTTTACTTTCAAGTCATTGCCGATCCTTACAATGGACTCTGAATTGCAGGTATGTGTCTCAACAACAAACAGAAACTTTCCCGGTCGAATGGGACACAAGGAGGGACAGATATATCTCGCGTCTCCATTTACTGCTGCAGCATCTGCGCTGACAGGTTTTGTCACCGATCCCAGAGAATTTTTACAGTAATGCCCTTCATAGAACTCGTATGGATCATCAGATCGTACACAATCTGGTCTGATAATTTCTGGGAAAGGCGTTCGCTTTCTGTTTTTACGTGCCTTGAGCTTTAAAAAAGTATGTTCTAGGATGTAGCCAGGGTTAGTGCTGTTGAGCTATAACTAGACCTTATCACAACTTTGATATTTTCCCACTGTATAACAAAAGTTTGACTTGTACTGCACTCCAAACAATAATAAGTTGCTTTCAGGAGAAGCTAAGTGATCTTTTAAAATCGCTTTGCTAAGTATTGGCGTACCCGTTGAGGTGTTGTCGTGTACCTTAAGGTCACATTCTCACAGGTTCACACTCTTTTGCCAAAATACAAGGTACACTTAGGGTAAATCTGTAGTCACATCAAGTTTCACACCAGAATTTGACACCATGTGTTTCACAGACAGAAAATAATTGTATGTGCACCCTTGATTGTTACTATCTGTCGAGACACACGGTGTTAAACTTGACGTGACTATAACGTGGTCCGTAAACTTTTACGGTGGTAAACTTCCCTTGAAAAGATGAAACTGGTCATTGTGTTTTAGCCCCAGAACGACATGTTTAAAAGCGGGTTTTAGGGCACTAAACACATCGTCCATTTTTGTTTTGTCTCTTGCACTTGCAATGTTGCATTTACGTCTAACTGTGTTGTCGCTTATACTTACAATAGAAGAAAGTTTCATAGCATTTCACATTTTCTAATGGTGAAACAAAAATATGAGGGTAACACTAGACTTACAGAGGTATTATTGAATTGGTACATGGGCATGGACCATTTTAAAAGAAAAGAAAGACAACCACAAAATGAGAAATGCTAATTTTGAGCAAACTGCATAGCTTCTTAAAATTTTCTGTGTTCTTTGCAAGATACACACAGACGAAGCTTAGATACGACTTCCATTGCGTCTTTCATGTGTTTCCTGGATCTTTGTCGGCGCTGAAATGTGACAGAAATTTTGAGATGTGTAAGATACAATAGATAAAGTTTAGACACGAAAAACTTGCATTGAGACCATTTCATTGGGAGCAACGCGTACCAAGTCCTTTAGCCTCAGAAGTCCTCAAGATTCTTAGCCTTTTCGCAGCGCCAACAAACATCCTATAACATGCCAACCCCAAAATTTCATAATCCATGCAAGAAACATCTATATCCTATATGTGGGGGTATATGCGGATCTTATCCCACGGCACCAAGTTTTAAAAAAAAGTTACATACCCCCACGGGACATCACCCACGAGTAGCCAATCGCCTTCTTTATCCTCGTATGTTAAGGCGAACTCGGAAGATCCATCTAAAAGCTTTGATGGTGTCATCTCCATTTGCTCCTTTTCCCCACCTAAGCCACATTGCAAGGGATTAGTAGTAAAGGGTAGAAACCATATGAACACAAAACACACACACACACGTTAAGTTGAGCGTCTGTTTGGGACGACTTATACGAACAAAAGATGGAAATTACTCACAGAAAGAACTCATAACACTTGTTGCGGACTTGAACATTGCGACCAACGCTTCGGCCAAACTTTGGTAGGAAGTGTGAGCAGTGAGATCCACTTTTCTCCCAATTGGGATTCCATCCATATTGACCTTCACAAACCCAAGATTTCCATTTTCTTTCACACTAAACCCACCATTATCACCCTTCTTTCCCTTGCCCAGTTTGTTTGATGAGTTTTCCTCACTTTTCTCATTATTCTTATTGTCTTCCCCATTGGGAGTTTTCCCATGGTTCACCAAGCTGTTCATCCTATATGACCTTATGGGTGGCCATCCTACAACCTGACCCATGCCCCTGAAAACAATGTATTAGAGCAAGTAAAATTGTACAAGCGCATCGATACATGAATAAGAACGATGCACAATGATAAAAAAACAACGGCGGTTTTAAAAATAGTCCGCATCGGATAATTTGAGAAAGAATAATGAGTTAATAAGATTTTGAGTTGAAGTAAACAAACAATTGAACTCGATATTTTTGATAGATTTACGGACATATCGACGGTTTCATACGGGTATTACCTTGTCTTAGTGCCGATCCTGAAACGAGAAAAAATGTGAAAGACTCTTAGCAAAAACATGTTTTGGGCAATATTTTGCTTTGTCTGGGACACATATGTTTTAAAATTAGTTCTAAATTTTAATTTTCATGATTAATTATGCAAAATTGCGACTATTGTTGCCCTCTCTTCAATTCCCCTACAACGAAACATACCCTACACAGCCTACATTGAGAGAAAATTGATATAGCTACTCATCTTCATGTCATGGACACTAAAAGGCACTTTAAGCAAATAAAAATAAAGAGAAAAATCCTATAGCTAATGCTCTCTACTTCCCAATGGAGAGTTTATACATTGAAATTATGATATTTTTAAAAAAGTTGAAAAATAAAAAAAAATAATGAGTAAAGTTTGTCTAAAAAAGAAAAATATTTGACACGTTGACTTCATTGAGTTTAAGGTAAATGTTAAAATATACTTTGTAGTTTGGTAAAATGTGAAAAGTATTGGTTGACATTTATTTAGAAGAAGTCAAGATGCCCACATTTTTACTATTGTTTTTAAAATTAGTGTAGAATTATAAAGTTAATTTTTAAAAAAAATCAAAAATAGACAATTTAAAATTGGTTTGGAAAGAGAAGGGCAAGTTCTATCATTATTAAAAGTGAAGGCCCACTCAAATGCTATAAACGTGCTCTGAAAATAGTGCAAATTGCACTTTGAGTCATGCTACAATAATTTCTAAGTTTGATGACATGGATGACAACTTCGTGTACTTGCTCACACAGACAGTTGCAATTATCCGTGTTTGCAAAGGATCGTCCGTGTGAACAAATTCGACGGTTGTCATCCGTGTGACAAATTTGAAGTTATATTAAAAAGATTTCAATTGCACTCGATCCACTAATACTCTTTTATTTCGCTTTCTTTTTCAGAAATGAAATGAGAGGCTCTCCTATCCCCTCTAAACAAATTTTTATAGTACAACTTAATTTTTACATTTATATATATTTTTAAGCTGCGTACAAATTAAACAAGAAAAATTTCTAGGAGACTGAGAGAGCAATTTTTTTGTGGNCCCCCCAAATAAAAAAATACTCCGTCTGTCCAAAAATTATCTACTCGTTGCACAATTACGATGTTTGACTGAAGTTATTTTCAAATAATTTTATATAAAAAATGATGTAGAATTTAAAAATAAAAATTATATATTTAAAAAACTATATCAAAAGATCTATAAAATTAGATGTTACATTATTATACTCCCTCCGTCCCAAAAAGTTTGTTACGTTTAGAAAAAACTGCGTCCCGTAAAGTCCGTTACATTTCTATTAAAAAACCACTTTTACCCCTTACTTTCTCATACCCTACTTATCACATCATACCTTTTTCTAATAATATACCCATCACATCATACTTTTACCCATCACATCAAGAGTATTTTTAGAAAGTCAATACCAAAATATCTCTCCCTTAATTTCCCAAAAAGTCAAACCGTCCCATTCTTTTTGGGACGGAGGGAGTATTATTTTATCAAATAGCCAACGAAAATAGGCTAACAAAGTAAATAAAGTTTAATTCTATTAATAGTGAACGAGAAAATAATTTTTGGACAGAGTAAAAAAAAAAGTCTCTCCCCACTCCAACCAAACAATATTTCTCTCCCCTCTAGCCTCCATTTGATGGCCGGTAAGCTCTCTGTCATGCAACAAAACTTCAAGATAACCAAAACCCTTTATTGAAGACAACAAATAAATTATTGGATTTGGATACCTACATTGATTTTTTTTTTTTAAAAAAATAACTTAAATAAGACTCAAACATTGAATGTAGAATAAAATAAAAGATCTTATATCTTCAATCACAAAAATATCTTTACCTCCTAAATACACCCTTCGTCCCACAAAATATTACTCATTTTGATATATTTTTAGTCAAAAAATTGCACGCTTTGACCATAAATTAAATATAATCTAAATAAAGAAATGTTATAAAAATTTGATATATCAAAACTAGATTATAAGATGAATCTAATTATATTAAATTTATAATTATAATTCAATATATTTTTCTCACAATTTGTAGTCAAAGTGTGTAATTTTTGACCAAATACTATTCAAAATGAGTAATGTTTTGCAGGAGTATTGACCGTGTGAAGCGTCCATAATTTGGAATCGTATGTTATTTTTTACAGTATCTTTTGAAATCATATTTTGACATTATAATTACTATTTTGATATAAAAAAAATTGAATGTCCTATCTCCATATACTCCCTCTTTCGTCCAGATTTAATTGTCACATTTTACTATTTTTATCAATATTCTTTTTCTTTTTAAACCTAGTTTATACTCCCTTCGTCTCATTGTCTTTGTCCACTTACCTTTTGGTACACCATTCAATGCACTTCTTTAATCCATTTTATCTTATAATTTGTATATTAAAAAATTATACAAATTACTCCGGAGTATATATTAATAATATATATGTTAAGGCTTATACATTAAGAGAATTTGATGAGTCAAAGTGCTTAGATGAACAGTTCCAAAAGTCAAAAGTGGACAAAAACAATGGGACATAGGTAGTATATATTAAAACCTTATATGAAGTATAATATATCTATGTACAAATTAAATATTCATATATATGGTCAAAGTGTGACGTTGTAGATCGTGAAAAATCAAATGAGAAGATTAAATTGAGACGAAAAAAGTACTAAACATACTTTAGTCCGTCTTTTTTCTTTCATTGAATAAAGAAACAGAAGAAACCATTATTATTTTACCTGGTGACACAATCTGGAGCTCTTTGAGTACCCGAAACAGCGCCATCAATTTTTGCGGGTTTTCCCCTGCAACAACTTGGGCCTGGGGATTTAGCCTCGGGGAGATAGCAACTGGGCCGGCTCCCAATGTTCAGGCCCAACCCAAGTTCAAGCCCGGCATCCCCGCCGCCGAGTAACCGGAGATTTGGTTCCATGAAAGAAAGAAAGAAAGAAAGATAAATATGAAAGGAGAAGAGAGAGAGAAGAGTGGGAGGAATCTAGCTTAGCGTAGTATATAGTGTGTGGGCTATAAAAGAGCAAGAAAACAAATACCCCTGCCACTTTCTTGTCTTTACTTCACTTGTCCCGCCTCAGTCCTCGGGAACGAGACTCATTCTTTTAATTTTTACGTCACTCGACACGGGTTTTGATGCCGCTTAAATGAGTTTTTTCGTCCCGAAGTAGATTTTTATTTCTTATTTATAAAGCTTGATTGAAAATATATTCAATTCGGTTTATTTATTTATAAATGTAAAATTTAAAAATAAAAAATTGATTTTCAACCAATTTTGTAATCTGAAGTGAAGAAAAAAAAATTGCTCATTTTTTCCACCATATTCCTTCTTAATGCATTTTCTTCTCCCATATTCTTAACTTTCTATTTTTATTTTATTTTTTTCTCTCTAACCAATGAAAAGAAGTTAAATTGCTTTTCATTCATATTTTTTTCATTTTAAATTTATTAAACCAAACAAATGTAATTTTTTTTGGAAAAAGACAGTAGTGATGGTGATGGGACCCAACAGTGCTATGTTCTATTCTCAACTCATCATTTTTGTTTTTTTTAATCAATGGCGCGTGTAAATTCATTTAACTTTTCAATGTCACTCCACATCATATAATTTCACTTGACTTTTTAATATTGTCCCACGTCATTTCTTTATAAAAAAGTGTCGCCAAAAAACAATGTTTATTGTCTTTATTTCAAAGTTAAAACTTTTAGGAATATTTTATTTTGAGTTACTCTTACACCAAAGATTGTGTATTAAAGTTACATCAAAGATATAAACTAACACAAAATGTTAGTGTGATTAATAAAATTTGTACTAATATTTTGTGCATGTGTAAATCATCACTCAAGCATTACACTGACACTGAGTCGATTTTGGACCAATTGACCGGCTATTGATTTGTGCGTTATTACTGTGGACCCGACCTTCACCCAGTTGGGTTTGGTTGGGCCGACCTGGATCGTGGCGTGGGTGGAATACACCCATCAACGGTTGACAGTGAACATTCTATTGAGTATATTCAAAATAAAAATTTTGTTCATTCAAAAGGAATATTCGCGGGATGTACCTAACATTACGTACAACGTGCTAATTTTCTTACTAAAGCTTCATGTAGACTATTTTTCTTTTTTATTGTCAAAGTTGGACTTTTGTGATTTTCATGCATTAATTTGAGAGTGAGTACTGAAGAGCAAATATTATAAACGGGCTATAATTATGTGACAAGTCATTTTTGAGTTACTACTTTTTATTTTTTTTTAGGCATTTTTAATATTTTTACTATTTAATTTTTAGTTGTTTAGATTTGTTTTATTTTAATTCTCATTTTTACTATCTTTTGATTTTTATTTCAAAAATAAAAGTTTTTAATCCTTTTTTTCATTGTATTATTTTTATTTTGTTTTTCTAACTCAAATTATTAGATATCTTATTTTGTAAAGAAAAACACAGCAAAACACCAAATTATAATTCAAGTTTAAAAAGAAGACGTTGAGTTTGGTTCGGAACCCAAACCCATAAACAACAAAGACCAGCCCATCATATTCTCTCATCCTCTTTGCCCATCCAAGGCCAAGCATAAGCTAGTGGTACAATGAGGGTCGAACACACCATCTCTTTGTCTAAGTCTGGGCCCGACTTGGCTGAGGCTGATGCTAGACCATAAGGTGTGGATCACACTCATCCCTTAGATCACTCTTTTTCTTTCTTTTATACTTCCTCCGTCCACAAATAAACTTTACATTATGCATTACGATGTTTGATTGAAGTTATTTTCAAATCATTTTATATGAAAAGTGGTGTAGAATTGAAAAATAAAAATTACATATTAAAAAACTATACCAAAAGATCTACAAAACTAGAAATGACATGACTATATTATTTTATCAAATGAGTGACGAAAATAGGCCAATAAAGTGAATAAAGTTTGACTCTGTAAATAGTGAATGTAAAATTTATTTATGGACGGATGGAGTATTTTTTTTTATATTTAATTAGTTGAATTAGCAATCAAGAATGAAAAGAAAGAAGAAAAGTAGCAAACGAAAAATAAGTATAAAAAACATGCGTGATCGTCAGGATGGGAAACACGCTCATCACCGTCAAATGGGAAGAGGGCGGTGTTCCCCCGCCATTGCAACTGTACGTGAATTATTGAGTCCTTTTTCAATTCATTGGTCTAACAATTCTTGATCGAGGATATCCATAAGGTGTAACATATTCTAGAGACCATTTTATAACTTTACACAATTTGTTCAATTACTAAATGTACTAAATTAATATTTAATTCCCAACATTCTAAAACAAAAAAACACGAGCAGTTAAATAGGAACAAAAAGATTTAAATTTAGAAAGTTTAACATGTATAAATCATAACACTGGAAGCAACAAAGATGACACAACATATATAGGATTGTATGATAGGTATGTGGAAGAGAAGGAAAAACTCCATCCAACATACATATATATCATCCCATTTCCTTATTCAATACAAAGAGAACCAAACAAACAAACAAGCAGCACACTCATGACAACAACAAGTCTTAGCTTGGAATGTGATGATGTGATCAAGCAGCATAGATAGCTGGATTGTCACCCAAGTATTTTTCAACAGCATTCATAAGCCCCATCCACTTGTCTTTGCCTTGCTTGAATTCATCCAACCCAATAGTAGAGTCACCTTTGGTGTGGAACTCAATCTTGGTCTTGCAAATGGACCCTCCATCGCCCTTACCTTCGAGTGTCACCTCGTATCGAACGCTCTCGAGCTTTTCTCCCAGCTCATGTCCCTCGATCAACGTGTATTTGCACACCAACTTAGCCCCGTCAATCTCATCGATCCTGTTTTTAACGTACTTCTCTGTTTCTCCTGTCGTCATATGTGTGAATAAAAATCTAAAACAATGATACAATTTGATAATAATTGATTTTATTGAATAGTGATTGTTTCATCCCTATGTATAGGGAATACGTGAGAAAATCATAATCATAATAGAATAACAACTGTTTAAACCAATAGAATAAGGAAAATAATTAAATTATACTCTCTCCGTCTCACAAAACTTTTATATTTTTGACTTTTAGGAGGGGAAGATATATAAGTTTGACCAAGGCGCAACGACGACAATTGAAACAAGCTGCGCTCGAGAAATGTCAAAATGGGTAGAGCGTAGAAGGTAGTTAAGGTAAGTTTGTTCAGATTTAAGAGATAAATAAGGACAATTGTATCCATTTAGACGAAATTGAAATGTTTTATGAGACGGATAAAAAGTTAAAGTTAAAATATTTTAAGGGACTAATGAAGCAATATTATTTCATATTGAACAACAACATTTGGTACATTTATTTGAAGGATTAATTACTTGAAATTAAAGCAATACATATATAATTAAGGCAAATAATTAAGGTCTTAGGATTAATTACCGACCTTCGACGTAATTGATTTTCTTAACTGTACCGGCGCTGGAACCGTCGCCTTCAACAATGTCAACGCTTTTGACCAAAGCTGGCACCACCTTGGGGAAGAGGTTGTGTGAGTCCACAAACAAGGCTTTGAACAACCTTGCAGGTGCACTGGGGGATTCCACTGAATCGGTGTAGGTTGTCACACCCATTGTTTTTTGTTTTTTTGGGTCTTTTGGGGATTTGTATATAATTTAGTGTTCAAAACTACAAAGGATTTCTTTTTTTGTGGAGTTGTGGGATTGTTGGCGAGATTGGGACGCTACTTATAGGACGAGTGACACTAAGGGTTGGTGACAATTTTCAACATTCTTGACTTTGGTTTCCATTACTCATTGCTTTTCTAGATGTTCAAAGTCTTCTCTTTTTTTCCTATTCCATCCCAACTTCATGCATGTTTAGGAATAACGCTAGAAATTAATGTTAGCGTTTTGAAAAAAGTAATCTACGTGCAGTATTTTGCTTTAGCATTTTCAAAATAATTTGTGTCATTGGAATTTTATTTAAAATGCTAACGCTAATCTCTAATGTTATTTCCAAACATGCCTAATGGACGTGGATTCCCATTCTTTTTTATTTCTATTTTTAAATATCACATTAATGATTTTTGTAAATTAATCTAAACAAAATTTGAAAATAAAAAGTGGAATTAGAAACTAAAAAAATCAATAAACACAATATGTAATGTCATCCATGATAGATATGTAATGTAAAATTTGCATTAAATAGTATTAAAACATATGTCTTTCTCAATGTAGTATTTAAACTTATTTATTTCTTAAATAGTACTTGAAAAATGTCTAATGGTGAAAACAATGTCCGGTGATAATGGATATTTAGTTTGAACAATGTCCAGTTGCAGTGTACATTTACTTGAACAATGATACTACATTGAGAAATAAAAAACATGTGATATTACATTGGAAAATTTAGTATAATTTAGGTAAATTCTTCATAAGTAATTCTATGGTGAACTTAAAGTTGGCATGGACTTTTCATATATATTTTTTTAAATTTCAAAAATACTTATTTCAATACTTATAAATATTTATTTAACATATACGGAGTACTTCGTATAAAAGTTCATCATAGACTTTAAATGCCTGTAATAATTTGGATTGATGATCTATGGGCTATGGAGTATTGAACCACTTTAATTGTTTTAAATTTACCAAAGTGGTTTATCGATTTTTGTTTTGGATTATTTACCAAAGTGACTTTTCCTATCAAAAGCTTCACCCAATCACCGCGTTTTGAGCTGCAAAGGAGAGTTAATCGTAAAAAGTTCTTACTCGTAATTTATGCACCAATTTAACAAATTAAGTTACTTTTTTTTCAAATTCTATAAATAATCTTTTATAAGTAAGAATTTTCTATACACGGAGTGTCGGAGTTTAATCTTTAATTATAAAGTAGGAAAAGTTATCTAAAATGATCCCAATTTTACTTCGTCTTTTAAAAATAATCGCATCTTTCACTTTAATGCATAATAATCCCAACTTTACTAAAATTTGCGAGTTTTGAGCAACCGTTAAGTTGTTAATAATGGGATAATGGAACGGCTTGTTTTGCACAACAAAATGAAAAATTAGGATTATTTTCGCTGAATTTTCGTTTTAAATTTTTTATGAGATTTTTTAAAATAACTTTCTACATCAATTTCTTTTTCCTTTTTTAAATATTATTCTTATCTTATAAAAAATAAAAATACAAAAATATCAAAAATGAGAAAAATAATCAGAACCATACAAAATTAAGAAATAAATAAGGTAATCAAAAAAATTAAACTAAAATTGAAAAGAAACAAAATAAAAAGATAGTGAGTGGAATGCTCTAACATTTTACATACTCTACAGAGTATTAATGTACTACTTATTTTTTTAATGAACAGGTAAAATTAGGAATATTGTAGATAATTTTTCCTAAAAATAAGAAGAAGAAGTACATTAATGCTCCATATACATATATTTTTGTTTTATTTCTTAGGAGTGTATGTGGAAGGCTATGATACCATAAAGAATTATGTTTTTCACTAATCAATGATGAATAATATGAGAGGAGTTGGGCAACGAATCACTATAAGCGCATATGTAATAGTAAGACAAAAATTAAATGTCACACGGTGATATGAAACACTTCAAAAAATAAAAAGTAGTCTAATCAGCGTGTTACAAGTGAGTGAAGTAGTATTGCATGTACGTAGTGGCAAGTCATTTTCTTGTCACTTTTTAGACTTTTTGACGTATTTTAATTATGGAAAATTCTATTGATGGTGTTATTTGTTTCGACCGATTTTATTATTTTTACTGTGTCAAAATGGTAAGCAAGCCTAAGAATCACCAAAAATACAAACAAGCTATTTTTGACGTGAAAATCTATTGCAATATGTTTGTACATATCTTATACTAATTTGTTTCCTTATAAAAGTAGGATTCCATATATGTTTCCTAGCATGTTTTGGAAACTATTGTTGTATATATATACATGTAGATTGTATCAATAAACCAAGTCATTCAATTCCAAAATTCTACATGGTATCGGAGCGATTCTTGGGAAAACCCTAAGACTACCGCACCCATATATGGGCGGCGGCCTGTCACCCCGTCGGCGTCCCTGCCCGACCAACCCACCGTCACCCTCCCTTCTCAAACAGCCACGATACCGACCAACACCCCACCGTCGGTACTGACAGTCCCACCCCAGCCCCCACATAACACCGTCACAGCCCCATGTCACCGACGCCCTCCTACCCGTTTTGACGATTTTATCTGTTATTCCGCTCAATCCGATACTCCGTCATCGTCGTCCCGTGTCCAGTCTTCCTCTTCAGGTACGAGGTATCCAATTACTAACTTTGTTTCTACTAAAAAGTTATGTGATAAGTATAAGGGATTTCTTGGCGCTGTTGATACTCAAAAAGTACCAAAAAATTTCCGGGAGGCGGTCCAACATGCCTCATGGCGGGAGGCAATGGCACAAGAAATTTTGGCGCTGGAGCGTAACAACACTTGGGAAATCACTGATCTACCCCCCCATAGATCAACATTGGGTTGCTAGTGGGTGTTTTGTACTAAATACAAATATGATGGTACAAAGGAGCGTGACAAAGCCCGTTTGGTCGTCCTCGGCAATCATCAGAATGGGGAACCGACTATACTGAAACCTTTGCTCCGGTTGCTAAGCTAGTAACCGTGCGTGTCCTCCTGTCTGTGGCACGCAACTGGGAAGTTCATCAGCTTGATATTAATAATGCCTTTTTACATGGCGATCTCCGAGACGAGGTCTACATGAAACTTCCTCCCGGTTATGGTCATGCGTTCCCAGGGAAGGTATGTCGCCTCTGCAAGTCCCTTTACGGCTTGCGCCAGTCCCCCCGCAATTGGTTTTCAAAGTTAAGTCAAGCTCTTCGTCAATATGGGTTTCGTCAGGCTCATGCTCACCACACCCTTTTTGTTTTTCGCAAAGGGGGAGATATGTTGGTTGTTCTGGTATATATCGACGATATTCTTGTTGCAGGGAATAATGGCTCTTTAAGCAGATCCTTCACACAGTATCTTGATGATTGTTTTAACCTCAAGGATCTTGGCCCCATCTCTTATTTCTTGGGCATTGAATGTGCTCGCTCGAGGGAAGGAATGGTATTGAATCAGAGAAAATATGCTTTGGATATAATTAAGGAAGCCGGCCTTATTGGGTGCAAACCCATCGCTACACTCATTCAACCGGGTCACAATCTCGCTTTGTCCACAAGTCGAGAGATTCGTGACCCTGCTAAGTACCATCGTTGGACGTTTATTATACCTTACCTTAACGCGTCCGGATATTTGTTTCTGTGTTCATGTGTTATCTCAGTTTATGCAGGCTCCTCGTTTGGATCATCTTAATGCCGCTCTCCGTGTTCTTCGTTATCTTAAAGGACATTCGGGTCAAGGCATTCTCCTCCGCAGTGACAGCAATCTGGCTCTCACTGCTTACTTCAATTCTGATTGGGCAAGTTGTCCTCTTACACGGAGATCCGTTACTGGCTACTTCATCCTTCTTGGGGGCTCGCCAATCTCATGGCGTTCCAAGAAACAAACCACCGTGTCACGTTTGTTGGCTGAAGCAGAATATCAAGCTATGGCAAATGCTTGTGCTGAGCTTCGTTGGATCTGTGGCCTTCTTGCAGCCCTATCTTTGCCATGTGTCTCCATTCCCAAGCTCTACGGTGACAATAAATCTGCATTATTCATTGCTGCCAATCCCGTATTTCATGAGCGCTCCAAACACATTGATATTGATTGCCATATTGTTCGTGAGTGTCTTCTACGTCAGCAGGTCATTACGGCTTACGTTCCTACTCGTCTTCAGATTGCTAACATTTTTACAAAGGCACTTCCTGGCCCACTCTTCCGCTTTCTACTGTCCAAGTTAGGCATTATTGATCTTCATGCTCTAACTTGAGGGGGAGTATTGGAATATGTTTGTACATATCTTATATTAATTTGTTTCCTTATAGAAGTAGGATTCCATATATGTTTCCTAGTATGTTTTGGAAACTATTGTTGTATATATATATACATGAAGATTGTATCAATAAACCAAGTCATTCAATTCCAAAATTCTACAAAATCTGAATTGGTAGAAAAACCACGGGCCTTTTTCGGTGGTACCATACTGATGCGTGTATTCCACCCAGAACCGGTCAAAGAAGGCACTCAAATATCCAACCGGTCAAGGTTTATTTTTCGGAGTGGGAGGCCTAAAACAACAGTAAAAGGGTAATTGGTTGACCAAAGATTTGACCGGTACACTTCAGAAAGTCTACTAGTCAAACTATTTTATTCCCTCGTTCATCCCCAATTTCAGTAAGCCCATCCCTCGGAAATCACCTGGTATGATTTCTAGGGTTGGAAAGTACCGGCAAGAAAGAATCTAAAGGGAATTGGACTGTAGCAGCCAAATTCAACAGAAGATTACTGGATATATTCGAACAATCAATCCAATGCACTATGTGACAAAGGAGTCACCTTTCTAAAATCAAATCTCACCTACCCAGCTCCCTTATATGTTCTCCTCATTCTAAAATTTCACGAACTTTACTCGTTTCAACTATCATTGTTTCTCTTTTGTCAAAAATAACGATTTCTCTTCTCAAAAATCAAAACTAGGGTAGTTTAGTAGATCGATGAAAGCAAAGTATTAAAAAATAAAAGAAAAAATACATTCCATTTTTATTAGCTGGTCGATGAAAAAACGATCCGATTTTATACTAAAATGAAATGAAACTAAATCAGAGCTTAATTCTAAGACAGGAGACCCATTTGGAATTTAACTAGTCTAGCTAGTCCGGTACCAATTTTTTTATTTGATTTGGTCAAGCACTTTGGTCCGACTTGAATTTTGTACACTCCTCCAGCCCCCGCAAATTATATTATACATTCGGTTGTACTCAAAATTGGGTACAACCGTTAAAAGGAAACGGAAGAAGCAAGCATGATCGAAAAAGTTCGACGACGGAGGAGAGGAGCTGATGAAGCTGGAGGGCGATGATCGAAGAAGTTCGGAGAATGAGATGTACACCGAAGACAAATGGAGAAGACGGTGAGAATCCGAGGTGGCAAAAATGATTTGAGAAGACAAATGGAGAAGACGGTGAGTATCACTTTGTTTCAGAATGAACATTACGTTATTCGTATATGGATATTATAATTTTATTAAATAAATGTGTAAAAATGAATATTGTATTATTTCAGAAATAAAATCATGCTATTCTAAAATAAATATTTATATTTATACGAGTATGAATACTATTTTAGTTCAGAAAGAGTATTACCTGGTTCTACTTTAGTTTTGGTACAATCGGTTATACCATGTAACTTCTCTGGGTCCCCACTATAACCGGGCCCGATTCATGCTGACTTAACCTAACCGACTCAAAGGTCTCCTGCCTTCAAAAAAAACTACTGTAAAAACCTTGTGCGGTCGACCCTCTCTATCGGATAGGGTTTAGGGTTTGAAAGCTGAGCCATGGCAATCAAAGGCAAATCCGGCAGCGGCGATCGCTCCATGATTGCTCGCATCTCGGAGTTCTCTGTAGTCCGCAAAGGCAAGAGCGCTGCTTATGACGCGGCCTATGTAGGCAAGCGTTTGGCGAAGAGCACCGGCAAGGCGGCATGGATCGCCGCCACCACTTTCATCATCATCGCCGTCCCACTCATCATCGTAATGGACCGTGAACAGATGCTCAACGAACTCGATCTCCAGCAGGCAAGCGTCTTCGGCACTCCTCCACCTTCCTCCGCCGGCCCGCCTCAAAAGTAATCGAATCTTTCAATTTTAGGTTTCTGCCCTTCCGAAATTTAGGTGATTTTTTTTTCTTCCTGGGCGGTTTAATTTTTGTGAAATCGTGTTTGTGTTTAATCTATCTTACTCTTGGAAATCGATTTACTTATATATCGATTGTTTGAACTTTTTATGTGATGTTGCTTTGATTCATTCATGTGGCCTCCTGCTTTTCAATTTCTTTAAGGCTCCATTTGGTACACGGAATTCAAACCGTGGAATTGGAATTGGAGACAACAATTCTAATTCTGCTATTTGGTAGTACAAAAATATATGGATTTGGATTTGGTTGTGCCAAAAATGGATTGGAATTGGAGAATTCAATTTCTTCCAAATGAATTCAATAGAATTTCAATGCCCAATTCAATTCCAATTCCGTGTACCAAACAGATCCTAAATGTCTGATTCCAAAATTTTGATTTTTTGTACGCAAGCAATGGCATCTCTCTTTGAAGCTTTTTGTGCATGATATTCATGGAAGTAATATTTGAGTGTTTCAAAATTGTTTGTCCAAATTCTTTTGAGAATCTTAAACGATTCTTTATGAGTATCGTTTTTCGTTTACTGCTAATTCAGCACTCTCGTTGTTCAACTCGGGAGACAGGACTTAGGGTGTGTTTTGTTGGAGGGGGAGGGAAACTGCCCCTCTCCCGGTCATCCCTCATTTGGAGGGTGGACAACCGAACTTCTCCCTCCTCTCCCCTTTACATTTGGAGGGTGGGGAAAGGTGGGGATTTCGGCACCACCCTTCAAATGTTTCGCGGAACATTTCCCTCTGCCCTTTTCAAACACGTAACTGCTTGGATTATTGTCTGAATCTGATAGGTGTTTAGACCATACCATCCTGTTGTGTTAAGTTCGAATCGTATTCTTACCTCCTCTTTACACCTGGTAATGAAAAAGCTTATGACCTTTGAATGCTCTTAGTAGAGTATATTTTAACCTTCCATCTCTTGAAACTGCGAGTGAACGTAATGTCCTGCCTTCACCATGACCTTCTTCAACTTGTGCTGTCCTATCTGCTTGAAAACCGAGTAATGCTCTTTGCAAACTGTCTGCTGCCAAGGGTAAGTCGTTGATGCTTATAAGCCTTTTTGCTCGCAGTGCATCAATATGTTCGTGTTTTAGCTCTGTATCCTTCATCACTTTCTTCATAATCTATGATGATTTTTTCTTTTTGCTTTTTCAAAGCTTTGAATCAAGTTTTAGTGGTTTGTATGAATCTTTGATGGATGGGTGTTGTGAGATTTGAACTTGAACAACCAACCGAAGTTAAAATGCACCCTCATACTTGTCTTCAAATCTTTGTTTATTGTCATGATCACATTGAAAATCTAACATTATTCCTTATTTATATGTAATGACAATGCTATCTTAAGTAAAAGTCTTTATAAACTAGTTTGTGAAAATTTTCTTTGGCTTCGTCCAATTGCATTGTTCTTGAAAATCAACAAAACTGTGTATAGTAAATGTCCCATGAAAAGATTTGGGATTGATTGGGAATAGTTTAAATTAAATAAACCAAAATTAAGAAATTATAGAGTAAAAGGAAACTTAAAAGAATGAAAGTTGTAGAATTACCTCTTTTTTCGTAATATTTTGAATTGCCCCAGGCCATGTTTTTTTATTTATTACTTATTCTTATTGGAATTAGATCAGATTAGATTAGACCATATTAGATCAGAAATAATTTTAAATATAATTACATTCAGATTAGATTAGAATTTATTTCAATCAGATCAAAATTAATTAGATCATGTGATGAGAAAATGGCCTCAATCGGGCTAAGTATGAGTGTGATATTGATTAAAAATTCAAAATACCGAGTACTTTTTTGTTCGCATAATCACATTTTATTTTGTCCAAATTATATATTTGCTTACTTTGTCTTTGGATGCCAAAATTTCAAGTGTATCTAATATCCACGATCACCATATATTACAAATACTGAGTTATTATTTCATTTATCTAGAAATCAACTCTCTTTTAATTGTGAAAATAAAAGTAACATACTGTGCGAGCTTCATTTAATTGTCAATTTTAATTACAAAAATAGAAGCAAGGTCGGTATACACACACCCTATCTAGACTTTATGCTTGTGAGATTGAACTGAATTGTTGTGATCAGAATTTGTCAATTTTAACTCTCAAAAGTCATAATTGAACAAGTACTTAGGTAGGTAGGTAGGGGTACAAGGTAATGCCACATTCACTCACCATCTTGTTTGACTCTTAAAGTCTAATGAAGTTCGGATTACATTAGTGTCTAATATTGTTTGAAATTATATGGTTGAGATTTACGTGGAAGATAATACAATAATTGGAATCACGTATTGCTTGTTTAATACTCCAACAAATATTCTCTTTGTCCGTAAATGATATTCTCATTTAAATTTTCACGCTCTTAAATGTAAAACGTTGGCTATTAATATCTACATTTATATATGGATATATTTTATGAAAATTTAGGGGTATATGGTAATCCGACATTCGCTCATCATCTTGTTTGACTCTTAAACTCTATAAAGTTCGGGTTACACTAGTGTCTAATACTCCCTCCATCCCCAATTAGATTACAATATTCCCTCTTATTTTTGTCCCAAAAAGAATTACAAAGTGTTTACTTTTACACTAAATGGACTCTTTTACCTTCCTTCCCATTTATCATTTTAATGTCAAAATCTCACCCACCCACCCATTCCTATACTATTTGGGGGTAATTTGGAGAAAAAAAATACTAATTTGACTATTCCTTAATTTTTTCTAAAAGAGAATATTGTAATCTAAAAGGGGACGGAGGGAGTATTGTTTGAAAGTATATGGTTGATATTTACGTGGAAGATAAGACCATAATTTGAATCATGTATTGCTTGTTTGATAACAAATACTCTCTTTGTTCGCAAATGATATTTTCATTTAAATTTTCACGCTCTCAAATGTAAAATGATGACTATTAATATCTACATTTATACATGGATATATTTTATGAAACTTTGATATTTTAAAACAACATTTCATTAAAAAAAACTATTGATATTACATTTATATCGAAACATAATGTATTTTTTCATATATAGAGATCAAAGTTTACAAACTTTGACAATAAGAAAGATCATTTTCAAACGGAGGAAGTAGTGTATAAGCTACCAGCTATCTCCACAAGTACAGCTGCCACTCAAGAATGTATGGTATCTATTAACATCCCTAACTACAATCTCCATCTCCACCACTCTGCTAACATACTTGAAAGCTTCATGGCAATCCCTACAGATCCTCAAATTCTTCACAATCCTCAGAGGTTTACCACAGGGATTCACCCCACTCAACAGCCCAAATGCCAGTGCCAGTTTCTCACTGTGTTGCCACAACACTTCTGCTTTGTGACTCTCATCCACATCATGTAACATCTCATTCCAAACAGGCACATACCCAAGCTTCTCAATCTCCCCCTTCAACTCCCCCAACTTGTCGTATATCTCCTCCCTCCTCTCGTGCGCCCGGTCCTCGGCCGAGAACGCGTGCACCTCCCCGCGTACCTCGATCCAGCTCCGCCCTCCCTCCTTTCCGACCCCTTTGTCCTTCATTGTTTTCCAAACTTGCCTCACCTGGTCCCACTTCCCAGCGCCCGCGAATGCGTTTGCTAGGATGACATATGCTGAGTCGTCGTTCGGGTTGATCTCGAGCAGCCTGTCTCTCATCTTCCATGCCATGTCGGTCTCCCCATGGTGTGCGCTTGTGGACAGCAGCGCGCGCCACACGGCAGCGTCTGGCTTGAAGGGCATTGTGGAGGCTACCGTTTCGGCGGGTCCCAGTTCGCCGGCTTTCCCCATGGCAGTGATCAAACATGTGTAATGCTCAAGCCAGGGTTCCAAGTTGTAATCTTCCTGCATCGCCCTGAACCATTTTTTGGCCTCTTGGGACAAACCGGCGTGGCAGAATGCGGTCAAAACAGCCAGGAAACAGTACCCGTCGGGCTTCATACCGCGACTCTGCATCGCCGCGAAAAGCTCAATCGCGTTCTTGGAATCCCCTTGCTGCGCATACGCTGACATCATCGTGCTCCATCCTACATCGATCAATGATGTTTCCAGTTCATCGAAAACGGCACGAGCTTCCCTTATGAGCCCACATCTCCCATACCCATCAATCAGCGCACTTCCGACAACCACATCCGAATCCAAACCGGTTCTTACTGCGTGCCCGTGGAGTGTCCTACATTGCTCCACGAGAGCCATCTCTGAAGCAGCCCGCAATGTTGCCGAGATACTGTGGGTAGTCGAAGCCACCCCACTCCTCTTCATCTCAAGAAAGTAAGACATAGCCTCAACGGGTCTGCGGTTCTGAGCCATACCCACAATGATCGAGGAGAAACAGACCTCATCCCTGTCAAGCATTTCGTCGAACACCTTCTGTGCATTGTTGAGAAAACTTGTTTTACAGTAGAAGGAAACGAGTGCAGAGGCCGTGAAGGGCTCGGACGAGAGGCCGAGCTTGTGGGCCATGGAGTGGAGCTGGATCCCGAAGGAGAGAGCGGGAAGGGAAGCGCAGGTTTTGAGGAGGGCGGAGAGAGTGCGGTGGTTAGGGAAGAGGCGTCCGGGGCGGCGGAGCATGGAGAGGAAGTGGTGGAAGGAGAGGGTTGAGTCGTGGAAAGTGGAGATGAGACAGGTCCAGGAAACCACATTTGGATTGGGGATAGACTGGAATATGCGGATGGCGTCGGAGCGGCGGCCGGACTTGGAGTAGAGGGTGATGAGATTGTTGAGCGCCCCACGGTCGGGGGACGCGCCGCCGGATCTGAGGACTCGCGCGTGAGCGCATCGTGGGTCGACTGCCAGTGCCTTCATCTCATTTCCGCCATTATTTTTGCTCTACCCTCTCCCACATTTACATTGCTTCATTTTTAAAAATTAAGACTTCTAACCTTTCCCTAAATTAGGGTTTCGTTTAACTTATTTTTTCAGCTCATTACTTATTCTTTTTATAATCAGATCAGAAACAATTTTAATTATATACAATCAGATTTAATCAGACTAGATCAGATCAGATCAGGCGAACAAAACGCACCCTAAATCCCTCCTGCCCATCACTTGCCCTTAACCCCCCTCTTGGTCGATTGGCTACAATAAGCCAATCTAGGTTGGGGGCAAGGGGAACTGTGGACAGACAAAGAGTATAGGGGAGGTTAAGGGATAAAACAATCAATGTTTTTCAAACGGAGCACCGTAAATATTCATTTTCATCCCAATAAAACCGTCCCGTTAGTTCATATACTCCGTATTACACATTTGACTATACGGCGTTAAAACCATTCTCAAAACCATTCTCGCTTTTTCAAATCACATTATTTTTTAAACTAAGACGAAAAGAGCACACCTTAAATCTCATCACTCAAAAGAGGCCAAAATGCAAAGGCAAACAACTCACATAACCAATAACAAAAGAGAGGCACAAAAGTATGGGTATGAGCTAAAATAAAAACATGTGAGCAAATGATATAACCATGAACACACATGATAGGCATGAATACATGATATTATGCAACTTACTAAAGTTGTTAGACCAATTTGAGCTAAATGGTGTGCACTAGTGGAGAATATGATATTGATGAACCCAAAGAATTTGAGAAATTGGAGGGCCATATTATATGAGAAATTGAAAAGAAAAAGAGAAAAGAGAGAGAGAGAGAGAGAGAGAGAGAGAGAGAGATGGCATTCACATGGGCAATTGCCAATTGGGAAGAAAGGCCAAAACCCCTGTAGGGCTATTTCCAATCATTTTCATTGTTGACAAAAATGGATTCTTTCTTGCATCATCCCCCCAAAAAATAAAAAACAAAAGAAAATTACTTAATATTCATTAACAGCTGGCATCCCCACCCACCCACAAAAAAAAAACCTACCCAAGCTCCAATCAGTTCTTCACCAACACAAGTCCAACTCCAGTAAGATGTCAAGTATTTTTCTCTGATGGAATTATCATAATGCAGTACAGGTTTCAGCTAAGAACCCAGCTGCTTTTCCTTCAATAATCTGCAGGACACGGCGAACCGAAAGACAAAAAAATTGGCATAAGAAACCGACGAACATAATAGTCTGGTAACACTATTCGATATTTCGATGGTTGTACGCGTACATACCATCACGTTTCTTTGTTAAACTCCTCACAAACAGCAAGCAAGCGATTAAAAATCCCACTCCTGCAGCCCCTCCGACTACTATAGCTGCCGTCTTCCCTGCATTTTGTCCTGACCCAGCAACAATTTAGTATATAATGCATGAGATTGTTGTTAGTTTGCAGTTTAGAAGATAAGCTATTGGTAATAAAATTCACAGAGAGCCTCAAATATGATCTCAACATTAGACGAACATCTTGTTTAGATTATCAAACATTGAAAACAAAAATAATGCATAACCCGGTGTTTCTGAAAACTCAAAGAGAATAGAGTTCTTGTTTAGATGAATGCATATCTTGATATGCATTTGATCTTTTATAAAAATTGATGGAATAACATGATATGGAGTAATCGATAGCGCAGCATTTCAATCACTCTTTAATCATTTTTCAAAGAATTTCATTTCAAAACTCTCCATCCAAATGGACTCCTAGGTGGGAAGTTAGAAAAACTTAGGTTTTATCGGGCGCTTGTCCCAACTGCACAACATGAGTTTGAGTGACTACTTGGATACTCTTGTGAGACAATATAATGCTGCCAACGGAGTTCAATCCCGGCGAGAAGGGGAAAAGGGGAACCATAACCCCATTGTCAAGAGAATACAGTTCTTGATTAGGATGAATGTTCAATTTTCACTACATACAGCCACTCCTGCTAGAAACCAGACGATGCCTAGCTAACAAACACGATAGCGCAACAAGACATTAAACCTGGATTTTATAAACAAGCATACGAAAGCAGATACCTGAGGAAGGAGATTGGTACGGGGATGAAGGGGATAAAGGCTTGGTGAGGCCAGTGGAATAAGTGCTATAGCTAACAAAGCACTTGTGGAGAAAGATTTGGCCAGAAATAGAGCTCCCACACTCAACCTGAGCTCTCTGGACAGCACTTTTCACACACTCGCCGCAGTCCGAGCTCCCCACGTCGCCCTCGCACTGCCCCAACACATACACAGACCCATAGCTGGTGGTGTAGAACCCATTGGAGCTACTACCCATCCCTCCAACCAAATTGGTAAATGCAGTGTCCCTCCTCTCCTCAAACCCACTCCCCTGCCCATTCTTCTTGCTACAAGTCTTGTACAGCATCTCCATCCCGGAGATTTGTGGGAACCCGGAGGCCTCATAGAGCATGTAACACCCAAAAAGCTGGATTCTTGCGGCCATGGGGCGGCCACAGAGCTTGTCTATGAGAATCGGGAGCCTGTTCACACAGCTATAGCACTCTACATTGGACAAGTCACCCCTACACTGGAAGAGGCCAGTCACAGTGTTAGGGCTGCTCCCAGTGGTGGTTTTGAAGAACTTGGATTTGGAGGACTGGGCAATGAGAGAGCCGTAAAGGGTAGAGAGGGCTTGCGAGTAAACCCCGCCCGGATCTGACAAATCTTGCTTCGCACAACCCTTGTAAATCAGGGTGGTGAACTCAGATTCGGAGCTGGCTTGGGAAATGAGGCCATGGATGGAGAGGAGGAGAAGAAGAAAAAGAAGAAGAAATGATGGGGTTTTAATGGCGGCGGAAAAGGGGGTTTGAGACGAGAAACCCATCTCTGGGATTCTTGGTGCATCAAACCATGGGTGAGATGAGGAGGGTTTGTGCTGAGGAATTGGGGTGATGATTTTGTAGTCTGATTTCTTCTTTCTGCTTCCCACTTTGGCTTCTCAAGAACACAAAAGTGTTTAATTTTTGGTTAATGAATGGTGATGATGATGCACTCAGTATTTTATACGGTGGCCTTTATTAACTACGGAGTATATTGAGTCATGCCCAAGTTATCCTATACGAACATTTATTTGGATAATGACTAAAAGTGCTATATTTAAAAAAAATACATATCTATTTAGAAAAAGTTACTCCCTCCGTCCTAAAACTTTCTTCCCGTTGCGCAAAACAAAGAAAAATCCCAAGTTTTTTCAATCTATTTTATTTAAATATTGGTATAGAAATAAAAAATAAATCATACATATTTAAAAACTACATCAAAAGTTCAACAAAACATGTGGTGACAAGAATATTTTATTTTATCATATAGGCCATGAAAAAACACAAATAAATATAAATTCTCGTGAAGTTAGAATAGTGCTCTGGGAAGAAAGTTTTAGGACTGAGGGAGTGTTATGTTTCAATACTATTTAAGTAAATTCTCCTGTTTTGAATGGTATATATAGAGTTGTAAAACATTTAAAAATTAAGATTTTCTAGCTGTTGAATAGCTAAAATATAGATAAAAGGAGGGGGTGCAATTGGAGCTAACAAATCAGCCGGCCAGGTCAAGATCAGGTTCGGTCACTTTGAATTTGGGTTATTTAAGGTTCAGGTAAGTTTGAGTTCGGGTTGAGAACTACATGCTCGTGACTCAGTGTCATATTTTATATTCGTGAGAATTATAATCTTATTTTTATAACATTATATTTCATATTAAAGTATATGTTTTTTTGAAAAAATCTTACATTAGCTGGTTAGTTAGGTTAGGTTTGGGTTCCGTTCGATTTAATCTATTTTTTGCGGGTAATTTCAAGTTCAGTCAACAAAACTTTTGTTCAAAACTCAATATTTTAGGATTGAGTCTTGGGTTAAAAACATGTCAGATTATTTTTTTGTCGGATCTAAACCCAACACTATGATATAGTAATAGCCCGAGATTTTTTTTTCTAATATAAACATGCAGGGGGTGTTCAACGGTGATATGGGATTTCATGGTTTGGCATGGCGTCCATTACAGGTAGCCAATTGGCAAAGGAAGGGGGAGAAGGGGAAGACTTTCGATTTTACGAACGAAGCACCGTAAATACTCTCATCTCACGCTATGATATTGGGTATCAATATCATTTAGACCGGGGTGCTAAAAATACATCCTTCAGCCATATTTTCATTCATAGTTCATATTTGAAGACAGAATTATCCAACTAAAAGAATTTTTAAATTTTAAACTCTCAATGCATCTGTTAACTAGTGTCACTTTGCATACTTTAATCTTTTTCATTTGTTTTATATATTTTTTATTTGTATTAAAAATATTTACTTTTGTATTTATTGACATCCAATATAATGTTAATTTAACAAATATTTAAAACTTGGGTTAAATATATTTTTTGTCCTTGTAAAATAGGGGAGTTTTGTTTTTTGTCCCTGTAAAATATGTTTTGTTTAAGTCATCCTTACAATATTTTTTATTTTGAAAATGGTCCCTATTCGTAATTAAGACTTTAAATTTATTGACATACCACGTTTATTTCGCATTCAACAACTTAATTTTACATTTTTTATTACTTCAAACACAATTCTCATGTCCTAAATCGTATTATTAATCAAATTATATCACCAATTCCCAAATTAGTATTATATTATATTCCTAAGAAATTTAGAAGTTGGAGATGAAATATGAATAAATACATATCGGTTGTACTTAGAATTAAAGTAAATTCTCAAAATGATACTCAATAACTATGTGTTTTCTCAAATTAGTCGCTAAAATTAATTAATTTCCGAGATGGTCCTCATTAATTGAGAATAATGCTCAGTTCGGTCCTCCCGACTAACGGTCGTTAAAATGACATTAAAACAACATTAAACCTTATACTATTTTCTCAAAATGGTACGGAGTACTTTTTAAGTTATCATTTTCTCAAATTAGTCCATTTATGAAATAAAAATATATTAATCATGGAAAAATATTTTAAATTTTATAAGATGACAATATAATACTAAAAAACTACAAACATAATTTTATAAATTTGAAAGTAAGCGTTTTAGATTATTTA